CATGAAACCTAGGCAGCTGAGACATGTTTTTATTATTTAGAAGGACGGTATCCAGATTGCAGTCAAACAAACATTAATCATATATGCTCAGGATCTCGTTTCTAGCAGTTATTTAGCAGTCTGTAAAGGTGGCTTGGAAATTCGATGGAAGTGTTGCAGTCCCTATAGCCAGCCAAGGACTTTAAAGTGCGACTCAGAATTTGTATTTATTCTTACCAGTGTGGCCTCCCATAAGTGGGATCAACTTCTCAAGATGAGCAGCTGTTTCCTGGGTTTGGCAAAAACATACAAACAAACAACAACAACAAAACAACTCCTAAATCAAATAGGCAAATAGGCCATGCAGGGGTCTGAAGAGAGCTGTGAGCTGGGTCCTAGTAGTCTGGATGCTTTCCCTATGACACTCCTGGGAACTGCACTTTATGGATGTCCTGTTTAAGAAAAGTCGCATAAAGGCCGTAGTCAAGACCATAGTTACACAATTGATGTTTTGTATGCTGTGTTCCCTAGGGAGGAGAAGAGATTGTGAAATCCCAACATTTTTTCCTATGAGTTGAGCTACAGTTGAAATTAGGAAAAAAATCAAATCAGTTGTTTTCGTGTCTCTGCAGTTGTACTCTGACAGCAAAGATGAAAATTTAATGTAATCTTCTTTGACAGATACAGCACTCAGTACTGAAACTTCCCCATTTCCGATTGGAAAACCCATTGGCAGTCCAGAGGGCGTCAATTTGGAGCAATGTCCACTAGGTGGCACTGTATCCGAACATTTCTTTTATCCTTGACTTGGCTGCATTTGTTTTGGGGGGGGGTGCCTACTTTATTCACTTTTCTCTTTTCCTTCTGTTTTGTTCCTTTTCCTTGTTCTGTTAAAGAAAGCTATTATAGTTTGTGCCTCAATTATGCTTACCTAAAAATGAATACATCTTTTTGAAAAGACTACTTGTTACATTTTGACCACAAATTAGTTCATTTATTCATGGTGTTTCTTATTAACTCCCATAAGGTTCAAGATTCTTGTTATCCGGGGCGGTTTATACAAATCAAGGTGTATGTGCGCATGTGCGTGTGTGAGTGTGCCTGTGTGTGTATGCGTGTGTGTGTGTGTGTGTGTGTGTATGTGTGTGAGAGCATGCATGTGTGTGTGTGTGTATGTGTGTGAGAGCGTGCATGTGTGTGTGCATGCGTGTGTGTATGTGTGTGTGTGCATGCGTGTGTGTGCGTGTGCATGTGTGTTACAGGTAGCGGTGTTCTGGGAAGGCAGATTGTTGATCTTCTAAGGCAGGGAGTCAGGTAGAAAATTAGGTTCTCTTGAACAAAACTTGATAGTGGGTCTAGGCAAGGGAGGGTGGGAGGGAGGGAGGAGGCTCTTTGCTCAGTTCCACACTCTACGAACTGTCCAGGTATCTGGGATATTTATTATATGTTTCTTCTATAATTCTGAATGATACTACAACGGAAAACTTGGTTGGCTGAAAACATAAGGAGTTATTATGTTTCAGTCTGTGGGATAGAAATGTCACTGTGAGATTATACCTTTGAGTGGACCCAGGTGCTTCCAAACAACGACTCACGGAAACACTCAGTTAGCAGTCACGTTTCTCAATGCCTGCTGCATATAAGAATCCACCTTGCAGCGTCTTTTGAAAATAATAAGGCAAATAGAGACCAGTGGCTGTGAATTGGACCAGGGCAACCCCAAAGTTTCCTCTAAATTGCAGCTGTGTTTCCCAGTGGGATGCATCAAGTTCTACTTACAAGAAATTTGTAAGTGCGTGTGCAAGTGCATGTGAAAGAGAGCAGTTGTATAACCGTGCATGCGCACATGTGTGGAAGCCAGAGGTCATTTTGGGGTATAGTTCTTCAGAAGCCACCACATTGGTTTATTAGGACAGGGTCTCTCTTGAAGAATGATGATTAGCCTAGATTGGCAGTCCAGAGAGTTCCAAATATGAGCTTGTGAGTGCTGAGGTTACCTGCTGAGTGCTAAGATGACCTATTGAGTGCTGGGGTTACCCACTGAGTGCTGGAGCTACTTACTAAGTGCTGAGGTTATCTACTGTGTGCTAGGATGACACACTGAGTGATGGAATGACCTACTGAGTGCTGGGGTTGCCTACTGAGAGATGGAATAACCCACTGAGTGCTGGGGTTACCCACTGAGTGCTGGGGCTACCTACTAAGTGCTGAGGTTACCTACTGTGTTCTATGATGACCCACTGAGTGCTGAGATGACCTACTGAGTGCTGGGGTTACCTACTGAGAGATGGGATGACCCGCTGAGTATTGGGGTTACTCACTGAGTGCTGGGGTTATCCACTGAGTGCTGGGGTTACCTACTGAATGCTGAGATGACCCACTGAGTGCTGGGGTTACCCACTGAGTGCTGAGGTTACCCACTGAGTGCTGGGGTTACCCACTGAGTGCTGAGGTTACCCACTGAGTGCTGAGGTTACCCACTGAGAGCTGGGGTTACCTACTGAGTGATGAGGTTTACAAGGGTGCACCAATGTCTAGTATTCTTGGTTCTTTTTTAAAAATCAAGCAAACAAACCAATTCCCACTGGTTCTAAGGATCTAACTCAGATCTTCTTGGTTGCACTATGCCAACTGAGCTATCCTTCGGCTAAGATTATTTTTTAGTCGTCTCAAAATCCAAAGACAATTTAAAAATACAGACTTAGTAGAATGATATGTTTATGATTGCTCATAAATAGCAATTACTTTGAGGTTCAAAAGATTGGGGTGGAGATACACATGTTAAAGCATTGTGTGTGTGTGACCTGAGGTCACAGATTCATCATAAGATCCCTTTTTGGTATTGAAACTTCCTTTCTGAATGTCTGAGAGGAATTGCAGTTCTTGGGTACTCTAGAGAAATAACACAAAAGCGTTACCTCCTGGGTCTCTAACTAGAGCTCTAATTCATCCCGGGACATGAACCCTTTCTTCCCCTGACAGCAGGCATTGAAAGTGCTTCTGAGAGGTGCTATTTATTGAATTTTCTTGTAACTAAATGGGTCTGTGGCAGCTCTGACCCAGAAGCCACTGATTAAATGGGCAAGGAAAGTTCCCGGTGGAGAGGGAGAAAAAAAAAAACGCCCCTGCCCATTAATCAGGGGCTTCAGCCTGCTGCTTTGGTCTGGGTCTCAAGCTTTAAGATAATTTCCTCATTTGCCCATGTAGAAATCCTTGCAAAGGGGATTTGTGGATCTCAGCTGAGAATGCAGCAGCAGCTACTAGTGTGTTAGAGATTCAAGTCAGAGACTCCAGGCCGGGCCTCCTGGATCTCAGACTACCTGGTCTTGCTGTTGGCACCTGTCTGCCCTCCTGGAGGTCAGCTTGCATCACCCTCAGTCTTGAGAGTCACTGTGTGTGTGTGTGTGTGTGTGTGTGTGTGTGTGTGTTTATTGAGCAAAATTCAAAACCAGGAAATTCCAGAAATTGGGACACCATTGAGAATCCCAAGAAGAGACCTGTGAACCAGAGGTCAGCAGGGGTGGGGAGGGAAAGGAAGCCAACTAAGAGCCGTTGCGTTGTCCAACACAAGAGGACACCATCTGCTTAAAATTCCCTACAGTGGGCTTCAAGCTGTAAGGGACCCAGGTGTAGGCCAGGGCAGAGGCTGACCTTATGTGACCTCTATGATGTCTCTAAGAGTTATAAAAAACAGAATAGATTCTTATCTCCCTTAGGGGTGTCTGAAGGCAGAGAGAATGAAGAAGAATAAAATCTTAGTTCTCATTGACGAGAACTGAATTCTTGTCACTTCACCTACTCATTTATTGGTCCCACTATAAGGCTGAAAGCCTTACTGTCTAGATAGGGAAAGCTCTCGTTATGTGGTCTATTCTTTAGACATGGTGGGGTAGTGACAGTCGGCGGGAGTGCTTATCTTATTAAGCGGGAACTGGGACCCCTTCTTGTGTTGGTGGCTCCAGGTATCTGGGTTCACTAGGGACTCAGCCGGGTGTATACCTCTATTATCTCATCTAACCATCCTGGCTGCTCTGCTCTTGAAGCCATGATATGAACCAAGGCAAAAGCTAGAGTTTCAACTGGCTCTGCCTTATGGGGCATTTTATGTTAGCTAACGTCTGAACTGGGTGGGCATGACTTGGTAGAGACGTCATTTTGGGAGCTCAGGGTAAATATGCAGTCACCTACTCCTACCTGCTTATGCTCATTCTTTGCCTGGCCTGTGCATCTAGACTTGTTTTCAGCAGTATTTTAAGTTAATGGTTGGCATTCTAAAAGCTTTTAGACTTTCATATAGTATTTTAAACACACTGACTTTAAAAAAAAAATTAACTACCAGGAGCCAGGTATCATTCTCTTTCCCGGGGGCTGAGTCTCTGAGTTATAATAGGAATTCACTACTAAATCCATAGAAAGAGGCTAACTGAAGACTGAGGAGAATAATACATTTTGTACACACGTCATTTCCATCTGCGTACGTGTTACATATTAATTATGTTCAGTTGTCTTGTTTTGTAATTTAACTTTGTTTCCTTTTATTGCCTCAAAGGTTTTGTTCGGTGGTGGGGGTGGGGGTGTGTGTCTGTGTGTGTGTCTGTGTGTGTGTCTGTGTGTGTGTGTCTGTGTGTGTGTCTGTGTGTGTGTCTGTGTGTGTGTGTCTGTGTGTGTGT